AGGCACATATAAGGACAAGCATAAGAATCACTTCTGGCTTTTCAGTCAAAATTTTGAAAGTAAGAAGGGCTTGGAAAGACTTCTGAAAGGTGATAACTGCCAACCCAGCTGAATATGCCAAGTACACTGGTCTATCTTGATTGTAGGAGAAAGAACAACTTTCTTTTTTTTTTAATTTTATTTATTTATTTATTTATTTATTTATTTATTTATTTATTTATTTTTTTGGTTTTTCGAGACAGGGTTTCTCTGTGGCTTTGGAGCCTGTCCTGGAACTAGCTCTGTAGACCAGGCTGGTCTCGAACTCACAGACATCTGCCTGCCTCTGCCTCCCGAGTGCTGGGATTAAAAGCGTGCGCCACCACCGCCCGGCTCAAGAACAACTTTCTGTGACAAGAGCAGGCCAAAGGAGTTTGTAATCACCAAGGAAGTCCTACAAAACATGTTGGGGTAAATACTTTAGATTAAGGTCTAAATTCAAGAGGCTACTGAGAGAAAAATAAATGAGGCTAACACATTTGCTAAGTAAGAGAGGACTAAGGAAACATCAAACACAACAAATGGCAAGAATAAATACCAGTCCATAGTAACTCTGAATATTAATGATTAACAATTCATTCATCAGAGGACATGAACTAGAAGATTGGATTAGAAAGCAAACTCTTTATTTTTGTTGTCTCCAAGTCACACACATCTTAGGGTAAAAAGATGGGACAAAAACAGGTCTTCCAAGGGAATAAGACCAAAAGCACATGGACAGTGCTATCCTAATACCTCATAAAATTGAATTTAACCCAGAACTCATCAGCATAAATAAAGTCCCTTCGTACTGATAAGGAACAATCTGTCAATATAATTCTAAACATAAACACACCAAGCACAGCCTCATCCAGTTTTATAAAATATGTTCTACTAAATATTAAGACAAGAATTAATTCATATATAGTAATAGTGACCTAATTAATACTCTACCATCACCGTTAGATCAGTCAGCCTCCCTCCCAAACAACAAACAAAAAACCCAGCCAAACAAACAGAAATATTAAATAACATCACATCACAGATCAAACATACCTTACAGGCATCTACAGAAGACTACCAAAACTAAAGAATTCACATTCTTCTCAGGAATACATAGAACTTTTTCTAGAGTATATCACATATTAGACACAATTCTAATTTCAACAAATATAGAAGAGCTAGGATATATGCTATCAGACCATAGTGGAGTAAGACTGGAAATCAATAGCAAGAAAAACTGTAGAAATACACAGATTCATGGGACTAAATAACACCTTGTTAAATGATGGATAAATCATTGAAGAAATATAGATGGTATTAAAAAATCCAAGCACTAAATGAAAATAAAAACGCAGTATGCTAATGAAGGCAGTCCTAAGAGAGACATCTCTGGTTTTAAGTACAATCAAATGCCTGGTCCCTAATTAAGACTCCATAGTTAAGAGCGCTTGTTGTTCTTCAGAGGACCAAACTTTGGTTTCTAGCAGGTACAACTATATGTAATTCTCATTCCAGGAGATAGAGTGCCCTCTATGACCTCTATGGGCACTCTTCATACACACAAATAATAAAATTAGTAAAATGAATCCTTAAAAAGATAAATAGTTCTCAAATAAACAATCTGATGATGTACCCCAAGGCAAAAACTTAATGAAAAATTGGAAAAGCAAAAACTTAGTAAAATAATCCAAAGATAGAAGAAAGATACAAATTAATAATATTAGAAATAGAAAGTGCACTATTATAACAGATACCAAGACATTCAGGCAGGCGTTCAAGATTTATATTCCACTAAACTGGAAAATTTAAAATAAATGAATGTTTTTGTAGATTCATATGGCATAGTAAAATTATATCAAGATGAAATAAATATACACATCTATAACAAGCAATGAAATTGAAACAGCAACTAAAAACAACAACAACAAAAAAACTAAAGATTGTTCCTGGCCAGACGTATGCTACACAGAATTCTACCAGGCCTTTTTCACAATATCAGAAAGTATTCCTATAGAAATAGAAAATGATGGGACATTTCCAACCTTTTAAAACACTATCACTATCCCTACATTAAAACCATGTAAAGACCACAACAACAACAGCAACAATGAAATTATAGACTGATCTCATGATGAACATATATTCAAAGTTTCTTAATATAATACTTGCAAATTGACGCAATAACACACCAAAACAGCGTGATCAAATTGCCTTCATTCTGGACATACAGTCATTTTCAACACATGGAAGTCAATCAATATTATTTTTCACATAAGTGAACTCAGGAGAGAAATCATGTGATCATCTCTGTAGATGCAGAAAGACAGACTCCAACACCTCTTCATAAATAAAGACTTGGCGAGACTAGAAATGGAGAGACTATAACTCCACTCAGTAAAATCTGCAAATGACAAACTGATAGCAATCATTATGCAAAAATGGAGAAAATTCAAAGCAGTCCCGCTAACATCAGTAACAAGACGCCCATTCCCTTCAACCCTATTCAATATTGTGCTTGCAGTCCTAGCTGGACCACTTAGAAGGAAATAAAATAGATACAAGTAGGAAAGGAAGAAGTCAAAGAATTCATATCGGCAGGGCTATGATTCTATCTATGAGAGAATTGTGACAATTTTTCATTTTAAGTAGATTTTATACATTTTTTAAAATATAGCTTTTAAATTTTCTTGAATTGGCAACTTTTTCTTGGGGGGCATTTTTCTGTCCAGGTGATTGACAAGCCAGTTAGGATTGTCCCTTACAAGGGTGAGGGGAGGGATGGACAAATGATATAATCTACAATCCTTTTTTTTTTTAAACCACAAAACCCTCATGATATACAGTGATCTTGTAAAGTTTAGTGCTCTTGGATCCAAGTTTAAATGGTTAATAATTAATGTCATTCTGTGAGGCTCAAAATGTCACATTTCCTCTAACGGCCAGAGTTAGGATTCAAGTCACATTCCATTCCTCTGACTAGTACTTAGCTTCCTGCATTTTCAGCTATTGGTTTGATATGGTATTGGTTATGAAGGAGGAGTCCAGCCTTAATGTCCTCAAATCCTGCCAGTATCTAGCAACTTAACAGCACCACTAAAATTGTAGTGGTGTATATGAAACACTCCACAGGGAAATAAGGGCTTAATTTTATAGACCTATTTCTTAAAAGTGGAAATGCTTCTAAGTCTATTTGTCACTTCTAAAATACAAATAAATTCTGTTTTCTTTGTGAAGTCCTTGCTAATTTAATACCCACTGGAGTTCTGACACTTAACTTCAGTGAGAAGTCTTGTAATTTATAGATTTTCATTAATGCAGATACTTTGGGTGTCTGCAGAAATCATCAGATATTTATTGTAGTCCAGTAAACTTTAACTGGAAATCAGGGTTTTTAAATTTAAACGTCCTAAGAGTACTAACTGATGGGATATGAAACTCATGGTCTTGCTGTATTAGGAATCTCAATTGAATTGTCTCCAGTCAATTAGCCTATGGGCATGTCTTTGGGGTATTTTTTGATTGGTGATTGATGCTGGAGGGCCTAACCCACTGTAGTTGGTTTGATGCCTTGGCATGGACCCTCAGCTGTTTAACAAAAGTAGCTGAGCAAGTCAGAGAAAGCAAGCCTTAATCAGTGTTCTTCCTTGGTCTCTGCTTCAGTTTTTGCCTCCTGATTTGAGTTCCTGGCCTGACTTTTCCTGGTGGTGGACTGTAAGTGTAAGAGGAAATAAAACTTTTCCTTCTCCTGGTTGGTTTTGGTCATGGTGTTTATTATAGCAAGAGAGAAACCAAGCTAAGACAGTCTCAAAGACAATTTAGGTACTTCAAAACCTCTTATCTCCCAAATACTTTAAGATTACATGCTCATTTGAGAATGTTTTAGTGAGTGGATAACATTATAGTTCTCCATAAAAGATATACATATTTCATAAATACTTAAGTTTATAAATGTTTTTCTAAAATATGGTATTTTTTATATATAATCTTTGTGTATTTTAAGACATGTTTCTGTGTCTAAAAATAAGTGACAATTCAAATTCTTTCAAGTACGTAACAATGCGTCAGATTTTAGAGCAGCTTGCTGGCTCCGTGTGTTTTATGGTGCTATTTCTCTTGCATAGTAACATTGCCTTACAGAGCAAAAGGTTAAATACAATGTGGTAAGGAAAGAACATTTTCACAAATTCATTTCTTCTCTTTGAGGTGTTCTACCCTGAGGGACATCTTTTTTAAAGGTAGCAAAGAGTTGAACCTAAATGGTCAAATAAATGTTTCATGTGGTCCTTTTAAGTAACAGGGGAAAGTAGAAATGAGCTCCTTCATTGAGAAATATGTTTTCTTTCTGTAGTTGCACATCTCTATTCCTTATGAGTATAATAGAACATAATTTCATCTTCAAATAAAAGCATCAAAATAAAATTGATGTTAATTTTCTTAGTGATCAAAGATATTGCCCAAAGTTGCTCAAAACTTCCACCTGACCATTGGTTTAGATAGTGCATTTATCTTGAAAATAAAATATAAATAGAGAATAAATCACACCCCTGATACTTACATATATTTTTAAATTTCCTTTGTAACTCTGTGTTTCATATTGACTTTATAGTTGTCCTGATGAGAAAGTAGTTGCTTAGTCCTCAGAGATATGGCTTAGTGAGTAAAAGTTCTTTCCATTTAGTCATGAGAACCTGAGTCTGAATCAGAACCCATATAAAATAGCCAGATCTGTCTGAGTTTCTATAATGGGGAGATAGAAGCAGAGAGAGACCTCAGAAGCTTAGGTCCAGCTGGCTTGGCACATGAAGTGGTAGAAAGACTCTGTGAAAACAAGCTGGAAAGTGAAGGTGGTCCTGTGCCCTCCACACTTGCACCATGGAACAGTAATACACCCACGAACATGAAGACACACATACATGTACACAAAAAGATCTTGATTAAATTAGGATATTACCCTTAATATATATCTCTTTTTATTACAGAAGAAAACACTCAGGAAACGCCACAAATGAAGAAAAGTTTCAGTGAAAAGGTTTCTCTCTACAGGGGTGACATCACATTGCTAGAGGTGGACGCAATAGTCAATGCGGGTGAGTGATTTACTTTTCTGTATTTTCTTTGCTATGTTTTTATGATTTTAAACATTTTCTATACTCTATGGGTATAGAAATGCCTTGTCTTTTTTCTTTATGATTTTATTGAGAATTTATTTTATGCATCTGATTAAGATCACTGGGTTAATGGAGAAGTAACAAACTGTCGTAAAGAGTTCTTCAGAAAGAATTTTAGTAATTATATGATTACTGGTTTCATGCTTGAGTTAAAGAGAAGTAGTAGTTCAACTAGCTTCTTTTTTCTTTTTAGTAAGTCCTAAAGATACAATTAGATTATATCAGCCAAAAGAGAAATGTGTAGAAATTATTACTGATTTCAAACCTCACTTATTTGTAAGTTTTCATTTTTATTATAAAATGCACTTTACGGGTATATTTTAATGTATAATTTTCTTCTTTGAATATTGAAGGAAATATGACAGCATATTAGTTATGTTGTTCTTGTCTCCTATATATTTTCTTGTGTTGTTATATATCAAAAGGTTGTAACAATTGTGATTCTATAAGAGGGAATTATGATTTGTGTTTTAAAAAGTTAAACCCCTTGCTAGGTTGAAAGTGTCAAGCAATAGTAGGTCTAGATTTAGATAAAGGCAGCCTTTAATCTTGTACTCTTTAATGGAAGAGGATGGTGACCATGGAGAGTCGAAGAGAACTGAAATAGGAAGAGCTATTTGACCTGGCAGATCTTTAAGTATCTGAAAAGTTCAAGCAGAAAAAACAAAAAAAGATGTAAAAGAAGTACAGACAGCTTTGCCTGTGGGGAATTGAATGATGGTATTAGACAGGTGGTTTCTTACAGGAGCCATTAGCGAGCGGTGGTTTTCATTAATCATGTGTTTTAAAACTCAGGAGTTTAGAACAAGGAGAGAAGATGGATTTGAGTTTGGTGCAGTCTTTGACCCAGGCTTAACCTGGGTAAATGGAGACAGAAAGTTCGGGTGTAAGAGAACAGAATGGGAATTTGGATTGTCATTTGTGTCTGCCTTAGCAGAGACTGCAAGATGGTCACCACTGAGTGTTCTGCAAGCCAAGAGGAATAATGCTAATTTACGGCTAGGCATCTCTCAGAACTTCAGAGAATGGGTGGGATTGCTTAACTGCCATTGTTTTCCAGAAGTGCATGGTTCAGGTAAGTTCAGTGTTGTCTCAAGGTTACCTCGGGTGATGTAAATCCACACAGGGTGGTAGGAACAAGACTTGGAGGTGAACAAGTAAGAACTGGAAGATCCTGATTCAGCATGTGGCAGAGATCTTGGGGTCTAGATGGAAGGCTGGGAGTCTTGTGAGCTAGCTCTTCCTGCAGAATTGCATGTCAGTCGCTTTGTATGTACAAGTTTTGCCATAACCAAAGCTCAGTATTCATCTTCTTCTAATGCTTCTTTGCTTTGTTTCTCCTCTGATGCTTCTGTTGCCTCTTTGAGATGTCATTTCTTATTCAAAAAGGAGTGTGGATTGTTTGATCTCTCTACCCAGTCTAGCTCCTTTTTTTTTTTTTTGTGGGGGTTTGATTTTTCTCTTTCTGTCATCTCACAGGCTCAGATCTTCCTTATATGTAGATCCCATGTTTGTTTTGTTTGTTTCTATTTTTTGTTTCAAGCTGTTTTACTCTGATCTATGGGGCCTTTGGAGAAACCAGGGTCTTGGAAAGTATCTCATGAACACGGGTACAGAATTCGGGTTAGGAATCCCTGTGGTTAGTAAGTGAGCAACTATGCCAGAATTTCTATAAGTGTATAAACTTTAATTATAAATATTTAAGATTTAAAGGTTTTTGTAAATGTACCACCAACATTCGAGTATTATTTTGGAAATTTTTAGCCAATGATTCTAGTTGCTTCTTTTTTTTCCTTATTCAACATAACATTGAATTTACCTTGTTAAATTGATAGTAACAATGATGTTTCTTGGGTTCTATTAACTGTGTTTTTTCCTCTCCATGAAGCACAAACTGGTACCCTTTTAATTTATTCTTTCACCTCCCAAAGCAATGTCTTGACTTTGTGCTTTTAAGAGATATGCAGGGCTGCCACCTGGGGTATTGTTGGTGTCCAAGGGCTATGCTGCAGTGGGGAGATGCAGACCTGGGTGGCCTGCACTGCCACATGGGGCTATGAGACAACTGGGCCCAGGCTATTGTCTAGACCTGTGTCTGGGTCTGTGGTCCTGCCACAGCCGGGGTCTGTGTTGATATCCCTGGCCCATGTTGCCACTAAAGGCCACACAGATGCCCACTGTCTAGACTACAACCTGTGATCATGGTGGTATCTGTGTGCTATTCTGTCACCAGGATGAAGTCAGTTTGAGTGGCCAACACCATTATCTGGGGCCATGGAATCATTCAAGTCAGGGCTACTGCTGAGGGCCATGCCTGAGTTCATAGTCCTACAACAGCAGTTGATGTCTACAGCTTCTGTTACCAGTGGCGGCCGTGTGGATGAGTAGGGTCTGGTCAGCTACCCGCAATCATTGTCCATGTCTGAAGATCATATGCTGCTGCCATGACCATACTGATCTGGGTGGCCTGTGCTGCCACCCTGGGCCATGGTGATGTCTGGGCCTGAACTGCTGCCGAGGAGTTCTGGGTCCATGGTCTTGCTGTAATTGGTTTCTGTGATGATGCACATGGTCTGGGTTATCATGAGCGGTCATTGGAAACACACTGTGGTGAGCTAACTCCGCTCTTCACTGGCCCTGGGATAGCTGGCCCTGCCCCTCTCTGGATACTGCAGCAAGAGAGCTGGCCCTGCTCTTCAGGGTAGAACTTGTTTTCAACATCCAGGGAAGAAGGCTCCGGCATGTACTCCAGCATACTAGAGCTAACCCTGTGCTTAGGGATGTAGATGAGCCTATCCTGGGGGTGTGAGAGAAAGAGAGGTGACCCTCCCCACCTCTGCCATCTACCATGTGGTAGCATAGGTAAGGAGAAGATGCCCTCTCCCCTCTGCCCTTTGCTACCTACAACAGGCAAGAGAGCTGGCCCTGAGGTCTGAGAGTGAGAGATCAGCCCTGCCTCTCACCAGCTACAGCACATAGGAGAGTGGGCCCTGCACCCCACCTGGGCAGCACACTAGAGATGACCATGTTGTTACGGGTACAGGTGAGACAGCCTTACATCTACCTATCCCCTTCATATTCCTCCTACAGCAATTGGGAGTGAGGGTTCTGTACCAGCCTGGGCAAAAGAGCTGGTCCTGGTGGGTAAGCCTGAGGACCTGAGAGCGGGAGAGCTGTTCTTGCACCTTGCTGCAGGCTGCACTGGGTGATCTAGCCAAGGCAGGGCCAGAGAGCTCACACCCTGGTGGTGAGGATGTCGAAAGCTGGTAGGTTAACCAACTCAACTTCCACCCAGACCCAGAACCAGGGCTATGAGTTAGTCCACCCCAACGTCCACATTATTTATGGACTGTTAGAACATGTGAAGGGGATGGACCTATGGATCCAAAACAGCACAATCTCCATAACACAGAACAACAGAGAGCCAGAGGAAGCCAGAAGCCTTGAGCCAGACCAATGGCCCTTGGAAATGACAATGAATGTACTAAACGTAACTGTGTGACTCGGTGGGCCATACTACAGCTTCCACAATGAGATTCTTTTTCTTGTTTTTGTTTTTCTTTTAAATTTTGTTTCGTTTTAGAGGGAGGGTTACAAGGACAGAGGACAGATGCAAGGGGACATGGAGAAAAGTAAAGTCAGAAAACATGATGTGAAACCCACAAAGAATCAATAAAAGTTAAAAAAAATTAATAAGAAAGAGATATTCAAATTGTATATGTGTTAAATTGAACTTTATAGAATTGAACTTATCGTACCTATAATAGTGTATTCTGTGCTGGGAACTTGATACAGTGAAGCAGTTTGGCTTTGGTTTTTAAAAATCATTTATTTAATCAATTAACAAAATATTTATTGGGTAATTTATATTGACATAAAACAAAGTATTGTTATGAAAACATCCTGAAGTCACTATTTTGCTTCTTCTTCATTTTATCGCGCCTTTCCCTGTATGTGAAGTTTTCTCAAAGATGTTGCGTTAGTGTACATGATTATGATGACTTAATCTAAAGATAAAAATCAACTGTTTTACCCTTTTACCTCTCTGGCTGTGATGATTGTAATTTGGCTGTGTTCACATGAGCTGGCTCATCAGGTAGATCCTGGGTGGATGGGGAAGAAATACCAAATGTACAGGTAATGGCTCTATTTGCAGCTCTCTGCTGTTCAGTTTGTTGGCCTGGTATGAGAAGAGAGGCACAGCTGTTAACTTTCAGGCATACAAGGCCACATGACAGAAAATTCCAGAGCCACCACCAGCAAGAGGCAGGCTTCCAGTCAAGGTAGCAAGGCTTCTCTGCAGTCACTTTCTGCCTGACTGCCAGTTCTTTCATGACCACATTAGCGTATTCAAACAACTGATCTTTATAGCTCTGAATAGAAGGAGTCGATGTTTTAAAGTTTTCAATCAAGTGTTTGTTGAAATTCTTTACATGTTACCCGAGATAAGCCTCTTCTTTATTCTTCCTTCTAGGAAGCTGCACTTATGTGTATGTTTTAATAAAAGAAGTTGTAATAAGTATGATATTAGCTAGCAGAGAAATAGCACACGTTAAGAGTCAGGCAGATGTAGGTTCCATGTCAGGTTCTTATACTTAGGACTGTTTTTTTATTTTAAATTTTATTTTGAAGTAATTATAGTGAATTGAAAGAAAAGAAAAAAATAAGAGTTCTATGTAAGGTCCCAGCAATGGCAGTATCATGTAACCTGTAGCATAATATAAGACCTAGGAAATTGTTACCTATATCTTCTTATCAGTATTGATAGAAATATGTTTGGTGTTGCAGAGAAAGAGACTGTCACTAAATTGAAGTGTCTGGACAAGGCAAGACTTTACTCTTGATCAAGAGAGTGTGCTTGGAAGAGCAAACACGCTGAGACAGGAAGGGCATCTTGGTTTTATTCTAAGGAAAGTGGT